ACTACTACTACTACTACTACTACTACTACTACTACTACTACTACTACTACTACTACTACTACTACTACTACGTCTTCTGATCCTCGTCGCGCGCCCGACCGCACTCGGAGCAGAACTTGGCCCTGCGGGGCGCCGCCACCTCCGGGGGCGCCCAGGGCGTCGCGCCGCCGAGGGCCAGCGGGGCGGCTGACGTCGCGACCTGCAGCTGCGCCGAGCGCGCAGCTGCCCAGGTGGGTGACGGCGCCAACGCGGCCGAGGCAGGCGTGGCCGTCGCGGCCTGCGCGCGACCAGCACCATCACCACCACCACTACCATCTTCATCATCATCATCATCATCATCATCATCATCATCATCATCATCATCATCATCATCATCATCATCATCATCATCATCGTCATCATCATCATCATCACCATCACCATCACCGGCATCATCATCAGCATCATCATCCTCATCCTCATCCTCATCATCATCACCCGCATCATCATCATCATCATCATCACCACCACCACCACCACCACCACCACCACCACCACCATCATCATCATCATCATCATCATTATCATCATCATCATCATCCCCAGAATCATTCCCGCAGATGCTTTCTCCGAGGCCATTCGGATTATGTTCAAGAGCGGGGAGCCTGCACCGTGACCTTACTGGGGCCCGACGCGAAGACGATTACACAAACCGGGTTCTTCTCTGCCACGAGGCCCCACGGCCACGGCAACGTTCTGCAGCGAGAGACAGGGATGGGAGGGTGGGAGCTCGAGAGCCGAAGGCTACGGAAAGCAAGCGTCGGCCTCTCTTCCCCTCTACATTCAACTTCAATGGAAAAGACTATGCCCGCGGATGGTTTCTCCAAATCGGATTATGTTCAAGACCAAATGAGCATGCACCGTGACTTTGCTGGGGCCCGACGCGGAGACAATTACGCAAACCGAATTCTTCTCTGCCGCGGGGCCCCAAGGCCAAAGCACCCCGAACTAAACCAGAAAAGGCACCTCCTCTCTAGTCAGCAGCCAAGCCAGACGGGCGACATCGAAAGCGCACTGGACTTGCAGACGGGCGTCGATGAGTGATCTCGCCCATCTAGCCCATCTAGCAGCGAGCCGTCGTGGGCAGGGCTGAGCCACTAGAGTCCACAGGGGCCCTCCCCCGGAGCTCTACCTTTAAGAATCTGATAGGGTTTGCCAGTCCTGCTGCAGCAAGTGGGAGAACTACTGCGCAGGCGAACAAACGCTTCAACATCTATGCGGAACCCGAGGATACCATCGGCTTTTTCCACGGGGTTCCATCCTGACAACAGTGGGTGACACACTAAAAGACATGAAGCTGCTTGCGAAGACACTGAAGCGAGGGGATTAGCCAGCGCCTAGACATAGCAGGGTTCTTGACAGTGAATGGTGTCTGCATGCGCCTAGAACTGTTCCAGAGGTTCTCACAACATCTGACAAGTCTGTTTGTTAGCGTGATCTGGGTTCTGTCCGTTGGGTGCGCCACTGCCGCCAGGCCCCAAATTTTACTGTCGGACCTCAGCCTGCTGGTCCAGGAGCCTGGCTCGCCTGGCGCTCGCAGCGTGCCGGCGTCCATGATCCCGGCCCACGTCTGGCACGGCGCGCCAAAGTGCAGGCCCCAGATCAGTCCCGCGCCCAGCCAGCCCCGCAGCAGCCGCGCCACCTTCGGGGCGGTCGGGCCCCGTCGGGGCCCCAGGTGATATCCCAGCCCATGACGAGCGAGCCCGCTCTGCGCAGCGCAGTGGCCAGCACGCCTGCGCCCGAGAAGACCTCCACGGCGATGGGCGGCGCCGGGAAACGCCTGCGGCGCGGGCCCGGCAGCTTGCTCTCGAGCAGGGACCGACCGCCCCGGCATTCCTATAGTCCTACCACGAAATGGCCGTAGAAGCCCCAAATGTCTTAATTCCAAAAACAATGTTCTTAGAACAGAAATCCGATGTGATAAAACAAGACAGACTCCGCCAGACATGTTCTAATAGTATCTCGTAAAAGCCACAAGGTTAATGGAACATTGTTTGGTGGGGCTATAAGCGCGCAGGGGCGCTTCGCCACTGCTTGATTCCTCAGCGCCAGCTGAGGAGAGAGGCCAGCCGAGCGGGGGCCAGCAGGGCCGCGCGCTGCACGGCGGGCGCGCCAGCCTCTGCAGCTGCTCGTTGACGCCCCCGGGCTTCAGGCACCGGGCGACCGACGCGTCGGTCCGCCAACGTCCGCGCAGCTTGGCGCTGGCCCACGCTCGCAAGTTCATGGCCAGCTCCACCGACGGCCCTGAGTGCCTGAGCTGGCGCAGCTGCGGTGTCAGCGTCGCAGCGCCGACGGCCTTCGCCGCCTGCCTGAACAGGGCGCGCACCTCCACAAGGGGCAGCGGGAACAGCTGCGCGCTCGGGTGGGTCGACGCCTTCAGCCAGCGGAAGGCGTCGGGCAGGAAACTGTAGAACGGCACGTCGAATGGGATCACCTCGTCGTATACCTGCGTCTTGCTTGGCGCCGCCAGCTCTCGCGGGTGGAGCACCGGCGACCATCCGTCGCACGCGCCTCTGGGCGTCGGGGGACTCAGGTGGGCCCGCGACGCCCTGGGGGCCTCCGACGGCCTCGGGTACCCCGCGAAGGTCACCAGCGCGTAGATCGCGGCCCGCAGCTCCAACCAGCTTCGCCGCGACGAGCGCCGCGATCTCCCTCGGCAGCGGCAGCCTGGCGCGGGCGGGCGCCCGCCTCCGCCAACCCCGCGGGGCCTGCAGCGCCCGCGGCAGCTCGAGCCCCCCTCGCGAGAACTGCGGCATCATGAACTTCAGCGCGGCCAGCATGTAGACGCCCCGCTCGGGGTTTCAGCCCTCGGAGTACTGCTGATCCATCCAATGGGCCAGCAGGTCGCCGGCTGTCTCGGTCTGCAGCGGCGCGGCCGCGGTCCTCAACCAGGCCGAGAACTCGCCCCGCAGGCCCAGGTACATGGCCCTCGTGGTCTCGGTTCGGTGACCGAGAGAGCCCTCAGCATGTGGCCTGCCGAGGCCCGCAGGGCAGCCGCCTCGGGCGCCCGCGCTGCAGCCCTCGCAGCACGCCTGGCCACCGCCTTCGCCATCTGGCCGGGGCCAGTCGCCGATGGCGCCTGGGGGCGCCGACGCCCCGCCTGGGAGCTAGGCCCCTGCGCGGCGGCCAGACTGGCGACTGCGCCCCAATGGGGCAGGGCGCCAATCCGAAGGTCGCGGCGCGACGGCAGGTCGGCCGGGTTCGCCTCGGAAGGGGGTTCAGCGCAGCGCCGCGAGGATGTCGCCCGCCACGGTCAGGGCGGCGCACTGGCCGCAGACGCGGGACATCCTCGGCCGCGATGAGCGGCCCTTCGAGAGAGCCAGGACGGCAACGAGACTGTCGGAGAAGAAAATGCCACGATGGCCATTCTGTTTCGAATCACGAAGAACGTGTTTCAGCGCGTGGATGAATGCCCTGCCCTCCAAAGCCGCAATGTGCCCCTCCCGCTTCCAGGCTTCACTGGAGATGACAACCCACTCGCCCGAGACAGACTCCATCTCCAGAAGCTCAAATCGAAGGTAGCGGGCTGCTGATGTTGTCGAGGTTCACGAGGGGACTCGAGGACGACGGGCCCCACGACGGCAGGCTGATGCAACTCTCGAGCTTCGACCGATTTGCTGCCGATCTCCACGTTGCCGATGGGTTTCGCCGATGTCGATGGTTTTGGGAAGGCCAAAGGTTTCGACAGCGGCTCGACGTCGATGGGGCTCTCCACGGGCTCCAAGGTGGCGATGAGCTGCTCCCTGGGGCCTCCTAGCGGCAGGATCTCGGAAGCGCCAGCGCCCCTGGACCCCCCCTAGCTTCTGCGCCAAACTTTCGTCGAGGTCGCGCACGCGCACCCCTCGGCCCCGCCTGGAGGTGCCCGTGCGCCGCGCTCAGCCAAGCCACTCGGCGCGTAGGTCCGCCCGGGCAAACGGCGCGACGCCCATGGCCCACTGCAGCTCTCGGCGCACGCTCGGCCACCACTCTCGCGGGCCCCCCCCCCGCCTTGGCGATGAAACGGCACGCGGCCGAGAAGATCGCCGGGGGCGGCTGCCTGGCCATGAAGAGGAAGGTGTAGCGACCCACCACCTCCCCCACCTGCTGGGCCGAGGCCTTCGGCATGGCCAGCAACGCCCGCGCGGCGAGGATCGCGCGCCGGGCTCTCCGCGGCGCCGGCGAGACAGCGCCCCTCACGCCGTCGATCACCCAGCCAAGCAGCTGCGCATGGAGGGCGGCGTCCTCCACCTCGTGGACGGGGAGACCGCCCTCGCGCAGCTCAGCAACCACGTCGGCCTTCATCCGCTCGGTGGTGTCGCGGTCCAGCGAAAACGAGACGGAGTTGTCGACGCGCTTGAGGCGCGCTCCTTTTGCCGCGCCTAGACAGGTTTGGCGGTCCACGATCCTCGCCGACGGCAGCAGCCCAGCCCGATCGGCCGCCGACTCCGACACCCGCTGACAGACGGCCAGCGCGTGGGCCCACAGCGAGTCGCGGCCAGGGCAGCCGAGACTGCCGCTGCCCGCGGTCGGCACCACTCCCCAGCCGCCGCGCGTCTATCGGCGGGGGAGCGAAGTATGGGCGCCAAGCGAGCGGCAGCTCCACGTTGCAGGACGCGTCCGCGAAGTCTGCCGAGGCGATCCACATGTCGGCGCAGCCGGGCAGCTCCACCGCCGGCAGCGCCGCGCCCGTGGCCAGGTGCACGTCAACGGGCCGCCCGCAAGTTGGCGGGCCGGGCGTCGACGACGAGCCGCTCGCGCCCGCTCTTCTTGGGCGCGCTGAAGAGGCCCACCCTGTCGACCAACTCGCATGGGTCGCTGGCGAGATCGATGGCCCCCGCGTCGTCAGACGCAGGACCGGGGCAGCGTGCCGACGTCGGTCACGAAGAAGTGGATCCAATTAGGGCCCCTTGACACCAGCGCGGCAAAACTTCGGTACTTGGCAAGGCCTTGCTTGAAATATCACGATATACGGAATCAAAAACCTCGGACTCCAGCGGCCGCTCCAGCGCCGCGGGGCGATTGCCTGAAAGTGGCAACGAGAGCCGGGACACGCGCATCGCCTCCGTCTTGGTCGACAGCGAGCCGTCGTAAGAGAGAGCAGATTGGAGCTCCCGCAGGGCTGCCGAAGGCTGAAGGTTGCCTGGCGGAGGGCCCAGCTGGGCGACGGACTCGGCCAGCCGCGCCAGGCAGCGCCGCTGAAGCCGCTGAGCGACTCCACCGCCTGCGGCGCAGAAGGCGCCCGCCGCGCGCGCCTGCGCATGCAGCGCGAACCCGCGCCGGCCAGCCCGCCGGGGTCAGCAGCCACGGGCGCGGGCAGTGGGAGGAGATCCCGCTGCCGCTCCGCGCCCACGCCGCCGCGCCTGCCGCGCACATCCTCGACCTCGCAGGCAGCCGTCGAGGAAATCCCAGTTGCCGCAGCGCCCAGGGGGGCTGGGCCAGGAGGCCCCCCCCTGGCATGATGACATCATGACTTCCCGCCTCTGGCCTCGGCCCCGGAGGCAGCCTTCGCTTCTTCCCACAGCTCGCGGGCATTCTTTTTGAGCTGGCTGACACGCTCCAGCTCCTTCCTGACTACGCCCAGCAGGGCGGGGCAGACCATGCTGCCCGGGCGGCTGGTGGCGCCCGTGCCGCCCATGAGAGCGCTGATCTCCTCCTGCGGCAGCCGCTGCTGGGCCGTGTCATGCCCCCTCTGCTTCTCTTCCCAGAAATGCTCGATGAGCTGCATCTTCCTAACCAACCGCTCTACACCCACGAGGTTCGCCACGCTGACCTCATCAATGGTCGCCAGATCCTCGAGCACCACGCTGAGGGCGCGATGCTCGGACACCACGTAATCTGAAGTTCTGAACCGCTTCCTCGCCTTCCAACTCTCGCGGTGCTGGACTGGCCCCCCTCGCGCATCAGCCAGGAGACGCACCGGGCGGCCGATCTGGGGGTTGGGCATCTCCTTCGCGGTCTCGGTCACTGAGAACCAGCTGCGGGGAGCACCACTGCCAGGGACGCGCGCTAGAGTCCGAGCGTGGGACCCGCGCCACTTTGCAGCGAAGTCGGCCCAGCGCCAGTCCTCCAAGATGAAGGCCACGATCGAGACGCCTCCCGCCAGCGTGACGACAGCCCGCCGCCTTGCCCGCGCCGCCATCACGATGCCCGTGATCGGCCCAGCCTGCACGACCGAGCCGAAGGGGCAGCGCGTCGACGTCCTCCGCAAGCATCCAGGCCCAGCCGGGAGGCGCCTCGCCGTTCGCACCCAGCGGATGGCCGCCGTCCTCCTTCCACCTAGGGCCAGGAGGCGCTCCGATGGCGGGCGGGGCTCCCGCGCCCATCGGCACGCCAGCCGCGGGTGCCGCCGGCACGGCGGGCGGGAGCACGGCGAGGGGCGCTGGCCCCGCGGCAGCCCCCACCAGCGCCCGGCAACAGACCGCCGCTCATTGGGATGAGCGTGCCGCCAAGCGGGACGGGCACCCCTGGATGGCGGCGGGCGAACTCGGCGTCCGCCTCGGCCGTGGCGGCGGCGAGCCACGCGGCCTCGCGGGCGGCCGACGGGGCACGCCCGAACCTGTACGTGGCTTCGGGCGCGATCCCAGGCGGAGGCGGCCAGCGCGTCGCCGAGAACCGCACCGCCGCCCCGCCGGGCCCCGCCGCCAGGAGCCGCTCGGCGTAGACCATGTCACCGGGCGTCGCAGGACGTCATCCGTCAGTGCCAGTTGGCCCACCGCCCTCCTTTGGTGGAAGGGCGGCGCGCCGCCCACGTTGTACACCACCCATGCCCATGCTTCCGCCATCGCCAGCCGCCGAGATCACCTGACGCGAGTGCGACCTGCTCGGGGCCTCTGCCAGCCGCTCTCCTGCGGGCGCATCCGGGCCACGAGCCTCCGCCGAGAAGCGCAGCGGGCCCCAGATTCGCAGCACCTCGATGGCGGCCAACGCTCCGAGAGCCGCCCCGGCGACGCCCGCCGCCAGGCAAGCCAGCGAGACCGCGCCCCAGGGCACGGCGGACAAGCTGGGCACGCAGGGCACGGTGGCACGTCGACGGCGGGGCAGCGAGGCACCCAGGCCTGCAGCGCGGGAACGCCCCAGCGATCCACCGCCCCGAGCCAGCCCTCCGGGAGGCCCAGCCCAACCATACAAGCTCGAGAGCCGAAGGCAACGAAAAGCAAGCTTCGGCCTCTCCCCCCTCGCTAAAGGCACTCAACTTCAATAGAAAAGACCATCAGCATGGTCATCATGGTCATCAAGGTCATCATGGTCATCATGGTCATCATGGTTGTCGTCATCATCATCATCAAAAACAACATCAACATCGTCATCATCATCGTCATCGTCATCACTATCACCATCGTCATCAACCTCATCATGATCACGATCAAGATCACCCTGTTCATCATCATCATCACCATCATCATCATCATCATCATCAGCAGCAGCAGCATCAGCATCAGCATCATCATCAGCACCATCAGCATCAGCATCAGCATCATCATTAGCATCATCATTAGCATCATCATCAGCACCATCATCAGCACCATCATCATCATCATCATCATCATCATCATCATCATCATCATCATCATCATCATCAGCAGCAGCAGCAGCAGCAGCAGCATCAGCAGCTTCAGCAGCAGCAGCCCACGCGGCCGAGGCAGGCGTGGCCGTCGCGGCCTGCGCGCGGGGCGGCTGCCGGGGCTGCTGCCGCCGCCGCTCGCGCGGCGGCTGCGGGGGCAGCTCCTCGGCGGCCGCGCCCGCGACGTGCGCGGGCAGGGCCCGCAGGAAGAGCGGCTGGGCGCCCGCGTTCTTGGGCCTGCGCACGGAGAAGTGGTGGGCGGCGTTGGCCTCGGGTCGGGCGTGTCCTCCTACAGGCGGATCGTCGGGCGA